ACAGTAATCATGTGCCTTAATGAATGAACAAATAGGACATTGATCTGTTACCTGAAGGTGACTTGACGTTAGTAGGAGAAAGAGGAGTAACTCTCAGTGGAGGGCAGAGAGCTAGAGTTAATCTAGCAAGAGCAGTTTACTGTCAAGCTGATGTATATCTTCTTGATGACCCATTGAGTGCTGTTGATCCTGCTGTTAGCAAGCATCTTTTCGACAAGTAGAGATTGATCATCAGAATCTAATACAATTTAATTTGCTTCATCTTTAGGTGCATTTGTGGTTTACTGTCTGATAAATGTGTGATACTAGTGACTCACCAGACACAATATCTTAAGCAATGTGATGCTGTGCTTGCTTTGAAAGAAGTACTGATGCAACTGGATAAGAATTTTACTCATTTATGTTGTTTGTAGGGAAAGGTAGTGATGTATGACACTCCTACAAGTATTATCCGGAAATCCAATGATAATCAACTTTTATGTCATGCACATGATACAAATGAAGCCATGTCAAGCGAGACACGAGAAAGTAATTGCATTGTTATTGTAATTAGAATGATTGGGTCACTATAGGACATTTCAATGAAGCAGACACCATATCATCAGACGCCTTATTGTCTGAAAAACAACAAGATCAGTCGTGCAGTAAAGTATGTTATGACAAAAATGCAATTAGTGATGTTACATGTTTGTAAATGGAATGATATAACAGAGCAGTGTAGTTCAGAAACCAGCATTGTCTGAAGAGGAAAGAGCACATGGTAGTTTGTCTATGAAAACTTACATACATTACTTCATAGCTGGAGGAGGATATATTTTCACCCCAATTGTTGTTGCTATTTTTATATTGACCCAGGTACAATTATCATATGTGTATTATGGAAGAATATAATTTTGATAGGTAAATATAGTTTCTGCTGATTGGTGGATAGCTGACTGGTACATAAACTATATATATCTAATCAAATTAGAATTTGTTTTCATTAGGGCTGACTGTAACTCTGAAAATCTTAATCAATCAACTTGTCTTCTTGATGATAATCAACGAATTGGAATATCAGGAGCTTTTGTTGTGTCACTGATAATAATTGGAGCTCTTCGTGTCATTTTGTATTTTATTTTGCTGCTAAATGCAGCTAAGGTTGTACACAACAATATGTTTGCTAAAGTTTTGAGAGCTCCCATATTGTTCTTTGATACAAACCCAATAGGTTAGCAAAATCCTTGTCATTATGTGTCTTTTAATATTTTCATGAATAGGCCGTGTGTTGAATCGATTCTCCAAAGACATCAGTTTTCTAGATGATCGGTTACTTTATAGCTCTATTGACTATCTTGATGTTAGTTAACTTAATTTATAAATAGAGTTATACTTATTTTTTTTAAGATTCTAGTCCAGTTTTTGGCCACAATCATTACAGCTTCAGTGGCTAATCCATATATATTAATAGCTGCTGTTGCATTATTTGTTTCTTCTTTGGCTCTCCGGTGGTACTATCTAAAAACTGCAAGAGATATTAAAAGATTGGAGGCACTAGGTTTGTGGTACTATATATTACATGCACAATATAAGCTCCTTCCTTTTCAACTATAGCTCTTAGTCCTATGTACTCTCATTTGTCTCTCACAATAAGAGGATTGTCAACAATAAGAACATATTCAATGGAAGATGAAGCAATGAATCAGTTTCATGAATTTCAAAATCAGCACACTCAAGCAGCTTATCTTTACATTGTCACTTCAAGGTTAGCTATGCATTAATTGTGAATTTTACTTTACTATAATTGTACAGATGGTTTGGTATGAGAATCGATACTATTAGTGCCATATTTATAGCCATTGTTAGTTTTGTCTCTATACCGTTATCATCAAGTAAGTAGCAATTAATACTGTATAGATCTAGTATGTACCATTCTCATTTTAGCTCTTAATGCCAGTTTAGTTGGTTTAGCATTGACCTATGCAATTTCATTAAGTGGAAGCTTTCAGTATTGTGTGAGGCAAAGTGCCGAATTTGAAGGCTTGGTTCGTGGAATATGTTATTGTGTCTATTGATAATAATTTATGCTTTCAGATGATTTCGGCAGAAAGAGTAATGGCCTATGGTAGACTTGAATCTGAAGCACCTCTGAAACAGACCC